GTACACCTGGATGCCAAGGATAAAAAAAATAAAAAAAAAAAAAAAAAAAAAAAACGTGCAAAAGTGTGAATTGCTACCATCATCTGGTAAGGGCATCGCTGAACTGAAGGACTAAATCATTTTTTGTAAGCAATTGATACCCACCTTTATTCTGTCAACAGGGGAGGCTGCTGTTTATTTCCTGTTTCTGTTTGCTATTTTGAATTTGAGATGACAATTTGATCTAAGATCATAAATACTTCTTGCTATGCTGTAATTGACTGTAAGCCTCAACTGCTTAGTTACTGTTGCTTCACCAAACTTTACTGTTATCACGGTAAACTACAAATAAGTACCTGTATGAGAATGTAAAGAGACACGGTGAGAACATACAAACTCCGCAAAATAAGAGACCGCTAGGTTCAGCTTTCCATCTATTACAATTCATGATAGAGTGGCATAGGAAAGGTGCATAGGAAAGGTAAAATGTTTCATTCAGCATTTATTTTTCTGCTACATCACTGCCACTAATGTAAGCCTAGTCAATAATACACAATGAAATGAACCAAATAATGGGAGAGCATTCATATTGAAGCTCAGTATATGAGTTACATGATGTTTACCCATTATTTGGCCCCAAAGAAGGGGGTGTCAATCCATGCCATCATAAATCTTCAGAGCCCCACAATAAACATCATTTTCCACACCTAACCTACCCTTAATTTAATACAAACCATCTCTGTATCCTATCTTCACCCAAGCAAAGAGTAGAAATGTGGCTTGACACACAGCACCTGTATTGTTAAGTCACGGGCCCAACTGGCTTGCAATGGCAGTCACCTCCGAAAGCCGGGTCCACTCAGTTGTACAGCTGACCACTGTTCTACCAAGATTGTCTAACAAAACCAGACTATTAGCAATTCCAGTGGGTCTGTAACTATATTATCACCAACACAAGTTCTATGTGGATGTAGGAGTGAAGGCAAGTCTACAGGGTCATCAGGTGGGCACCCTCTCACTAGCTAGTGTTTGTTGAGTTGGGCCCACAACACCAAGAAGCCTCAACAATGTGTTACAGTGTCCCAGAGCCACCCCCCTCTTTGCCTGCACCTATACACCCAACTGTTCATTTACTCAGGCTAGCTGTTACCAGTCACTAGCAAACATTTCATCTGCTGTTCTAGCCACCAAACATTTAAAATAGCTCACCAGATAACTATCCAAACTTCTGCTTCCTTTTATATTGCATCAGAAACCACACTGTGTTAGTATTCATTCCAACAAACCAGTCAAACGTCTACTATGCCTTCATATTAGTTTGCTCATGCTAACACCAGGAAGTAGGCCTCAAGCCTGCAGCATGTATTAAACACAATAACTAATCCTGTCCTCCTATGTTACTTCAGCTTAACAGGCACAGTCTTCTCATCTGTTGCCGTTTATAAATCACTTACCTATTTCTACCCCATTCACACACCTTTCTTCTGCTCCAGAGCCACACACTGGACCTTGCTACACTATCAGCTAGATTCCCAATTACCTGTCTTAGGCTGTGCCATTTTATACCTAACTCCCTTAGCAGAGCGACAGCTGACTTGGCTACAAATCCCCTACAACCAGCCTCCACGGGGCAGACTTTAACTTTCCAGCCATGCTCCTCTGCGTCCATGGCTAACTCAACAGTTTCTTCCTCTCATAAACTCTATCTATAGTGTCCTTCCAGAAAACTGTAAGCTTGACAAAATACACAGTCTGCTGTGTTACTAACCACAACACAAGGTCTGGTCTGAGGTTAGTGCTGACTATCTCCTCATGAACTATCAGCTAATTCCCTAAATCTACTTTCATTTGCCAGTTTTTCCCTGTCATTAGCTGGCCTGCATCCTGCCTGTTCAGAATGATTTACTTCCTGCCTTTTTCGTCCCTGTGAACAAACAAAATCCCTTATTGTTTCTTCTTCTCATCCACTGAGCTTACCTCTAAGCACCTACTTTCAGTAGCGGCTGCTAAACATTTCAACACTTGATTATGAATCCAAAGTAAAACCTGAATTTACAGGCTCTCTTAAAAAAGTAAGAAAAACTCTTTCAAAAACATTCAGACATTTGGAACTACAGTTAATATATAAAAATCAGACAAAAGTCATTTGTTTTATTACATTTATCTATCTATCTATCTGTCTGTCTATAGATAGATATATATTTATATAGCTTTTATTAGCATTGAAAATACTTTGACAAATGTATTTTTTACATGTTAAAGGAGAGTAGCTAGAGCACTTGAACCTAATGATACTTTGCTCATCTGTATTCGATATATATATAAAGCCTTTTCAAGAGGATATAATATTAATTTTCAGTGCACTGATACTCTTTCTCATAGTATTATTGAAAGGTTCAACATTTCAACATCTCCCTTTAAGAAAAAATATGGATGTTTCAAAGGCTATTAATCTTACATGGAGAACATGATTCATTAAATTATCATATATTTCAGCCAGAAACTCATTAAGTTCACTAAGTAATTTAAAGTATTGTGAGGATCTTGATAAAAGTGCATCCAGCCACTAGTCTGTCATGTACTTCACTGTAACTCAGAGGTGAAAAATGACAAAACCTGATTTATAGTCTCCTTTACAGTCCCCTCTCAACAAAAGCATACTGTCTGAATATTACCAAGGTTGGGGAGGCTATGGCTTAGAGCAGGTCATCTCCCAAGAGAAAATTTTTGTGGTTCAATTCCTGGCTTCTGCAGTACACATGTTGAAGTGTCCTTGAGCAAGACACTGAACCACGAGTTGATCCCAGTGATATTGCCCATGTATGAATATATGAGTACTTTTGTGTGGAGATGGATGAAGGGGAAATAGTATAAAGAGCTTTGAGTGCCCTTCAGTGCGTAAAAAGGTGCTATATAAGACCAATTACAATTTTGATTGTACATTAAAATAAACAGATTTTTAGGACATTACACATACAACAAACAACCACCCAGTAATCTATATGATCAACAATGAAATTACAAACAGACAAAAAAGGTTGTACTTACTGTGCTATCTTGCAGTTGGCTGCTGTAACAGACCGTCCTGTGTAGTGAATGTTACACCTCACTACATTATTGGTAAAGTCTGATTCCTGGACCAAGAACTTGGGATTAACCTGGATCTGAAAATGAAGGATAGAAGGTACATTGCAATTCACCATAATCACCAAATCTCACGAAAAAGCTAAAAGGTTATGCTTCAAAAAGGAATGTATTTGGGACAAATAATAATGAATTCAACCATGTTCATATCTCTTATATGTACAGCACATTATGTAACAATGTTGACTAAATAAGATACAAAATATATATACTGTATGAAAAAGAGACAATGTGAAAGTTGGGAAACCGGTACCAATGAATTGCTGCAAACTGAAGAACTCTGAACAAGTACAATCATAAAATCCTCTGCAGTTTATCTCTTTCATAACCCCAATAAATTTGTTGTGGTGGCCTAGACCGTTGATGTCTTGGATAAAATATGACTGTGTGCTATTCGCAAACTAGGCATGTTCATGCACAGCAGGTCCGCACTTGACTCTTACCTTTAGTATGTAGTTTCCAGGTTTGATATCTGTGATATCAATCCATTGGCAGTCAATGTCAGCATTGTATGTATCATAGCACCCTGGGCTCAGACCCTGAAGAAAGGTGAGGAAACTCATAAGCAATACCAAGCTGGGTGAGAAACAGTTGGTCAGACTAGGAGATATATCAATAATTTGATTAATCCTATTTTTAATTTTTTGGACAATGTGAAAAATGTCTAAACTGGCAAGATCTACTGTCACTCAAATGCCTGCACTAGCACTTCTGTTACAACAGTAATGTAATCTGCTGCTCTTTCTTTGGATGCTAAATTACATGATGGCATCCATTCTTCACAATGAAAGTTGCTTGCCTGTTGTATACATCAAAAAAGATTTTTCCTTCCAGATTTGGGGAAGAGCAAACAATTTTGATAAAGAAAACATTTTTAATCATGTTTTACTTCATGTAAACAGACAGAAGTCAATTAAAATCATGAATCATTCATAAAAGTGAAAAAGTCGAGATGTAACTTTTTGAATGATATCCCCCAGCCCTAGTCAACATGTATAGAGGCCTATATAAGCTCACACACATATACTGTACCTCAAAAACATACAAAACCTCTGGCTAGCAAATGCCGTGCCCAATACCAATGGTGGAGAATAACTAAGTACATTTACTCAAGTACTGTACTTCAGTGAAAGGAACAAAGTTAAAAAGGGTACAGGTGACCACCAGATGTAAACAGATTGTCATAATTTATGCTCATGTTTTTGTTTGCTATATTACCTGAGTGTGAGCGGTGCAGGCATAACGCTTGAGGTGACCAAAGTCACAGGTGGTGTCCTCCAGACAGAAGCTAGCCTTGTGTCCCTCTGCCACTTTACGGCCAGTGCTGACCTCCAGTAAATCATAATGGCTGAACTCATCCATACTGTGGTAGTGCCTGTCGGGAACAAGCAAACAGCTAATCAAAGATGAAAAAGTTGATTATAATAGCATCATCTGTTATTTAATGTGTGGCTGAGCAACATTAAGCAGAAGTTTATTTTAGCTTCTGTTGTAATTACACCCTTATTGTTTAAATTTAGCTTATCCAAGTGTAACTTTATTGTAGAACAAACAGTGGATTTACACACTACATGCATGGCTGTGTTTGTTAACATTTTTTAAGTGATTTTGGACCTTAATTGCATACAAAGCATCAAAAAATAATTGATACCAATTAATAGCATTTATCCTAATATATGATTATTGTTAATTAGCTTGCATCCGTCGACAAGATTAGAGATGTGTGTGAAATCTTGTGCACTGGTGTGAATGTATTTCTGTGTGCACTGCTGGACTTTTTCAAACATGCAAGCACATACCTGTGGGAGCATGGGTAAATTTGTGAGTATCGGTGTTAAGAGTATTTGTGCTCCGTGTGTTTGCACAGCTTTAGCAGCTTAGGAAACCCTGGATGCACATGATCGCTGATCATCTTAACTAAACCAGAATGTGAGCCAAGTGTCAGTGAATGCTTTCATTTGAAGTAGTATACAGTACAGCATTAACTGCTATATGGGTTGGTCTACTCCTAAACATCACCCTTTCCTTTTTTGACTAGCTTCCTGTGCACATTTTGGATTTATTAACAACAAACCATTTTTGCATTGATTAAGATTACAGTACATTTCTGTGTTGATGGGAAAATTGTTATCATTGCTTTGATGCGAAGCAGCAGAAACAATTGGGGAAAATAAACATATATAGAGAATTTAAATATCAATTGTGTCAGGTACCCACAAAACCCAGGACCTAAATGGACAACTCTGGCACTGAGAAGGTTTAAGAGTTTATTAAAGGATTAAAAGGTGGGGGCAGAGCTGCACCTGAGCTGGAACAGTGAAGATGTTTGCAGTGTGCAGGTGGAACTGGGAGCAGGATCAATTGTTGCAGGTGTCTGTAGGCTTAGCTTCCTAAAGAGGGTAAAGTCAGAATGGCGTCTTCCAGAAGGGGGTGGGATAGCAGGTGAGCAATAATACATCTTTGGTTTCCCACAGGAATAATGGTAAAACAGAAAGACTGCAAACTGCAGCTGGCAAAAAAATCCACTACACAGTGGGGATAACAGGACGCCTACGGTAAGCTTGGGGAGAGGTGACACAGTCAAAAATACAAATCCTTTCGGAGGGCCTGTGGGGGAGAAAGCCAGAACAGAAAACGGTACTGTACAAAAGTACTCAATAAAACTCAAAACAAAAGGAGACCGGAATGCAGGCAAGAAAAAGAAAAAAAATACAAAAAAATGTAAAGGTAGGCAAAAATGAACTTAGACCAAAGTGCAGACAGACAACAGGCTAATTCAGAGGTACAAACAGGCCAGGTATCAATCCATGCAGGTAGGTCTGCAAATCCAAGGCAGAAACCGTTAATAGCTGAAAAACACTGCAAGCACCAAGTTTGAAAAGACCATAAAGACAGGTTCCATAGACTGCTTAACAAGCCACAGGTGTTCCCAATCAGCCACTGATTGGTGTTAGCAAAGCTGGGAAACGTGAGACAGTGAAAAGGAGGAAGAGTCCTACAAAATAAGAGCCTCTTGCCAGAAGTCAGGGGCAGAACATGACAAATCTTGTTTTGAAACACTCTACAATACCAGCTGCCTTTTTTGGACCCAATTCAAAGGGGAGCTGTGTCCAAATTTTGACTGGTAGTGTATCTGGCAGTTGATATATAAATACACTATTAGAACATATTTTTGCTAAAACAACCATGAGTAAGAAAGTAAATTTCCAGCTTCAGTACTTCAAGTATCATATAGAAGCTGTGGCTGCCCTTTTTGGAAAAAATACATCCTTCATTTACAGGAATTTTATTTTATGTTACCAGAGGAAGTTATGATTCTCCCTTGATTCTTAAATTGTTCCATATTGAGTTCTTTGTTGTTTTAGCAGGTGAGGTAAGCACTGGATCTCTTAAAGTCAGACAAGCTCAGACTAAATGGTGCACTTTTGCCTTACTTCATGGCCCATAACAGCTTTTACTGGAACAGTCATTAAAGACTGAAGGATAACTTGGAATGGAAAGTTGGAACTTTGCACTGTTGTATCAAAGTCCCTAACAGATGCAAACAATTAGAAGTTACACTCAGGAAGAAACCTGCCTGCTGTTATCTGAGGCTGAACACTATATTCATTGTGTCTATGTGCATAAATTACTCTCTTGTCCCTGTTGCCATGCAAATGTAAGCAACCACGTCTGTTTATAGATTTATTTTTTGTGCAACACTTGGCCACACTTGCAATGTATTCAGTGCATGAGTGAATGAACCTATTCACATATATCAGTAAACCAAGGTGGGAAATGGAAGGCCTAAAAGGCTGGAGCACACTCTTTGTTTGTGTCCCCAAAACTGACATTCATTTCAGTCTTGAGATGACTGTCAACAGTATGCAGTATGTGTTAAATAGAAAGAGTAGTGATGTGACGTTCCGTATCAAGGCTTCGAAGCATGTGTCAAGTAGGGGAGGGGGCGTTTCCGTGATGCACGTATCGAGGCTTGCGTCATTTAGGAGACAAGCTGAAAATGATGACGTCCGAAGCCTCGCTGCCCGGCTGTACCACGTGACTGATTCAGGGAGTGGTTCGGATTTTGCCGCGAGTTTTGACAGCGATATAAACCCCTCAGGCTCCATTCAAAATGTGGGTGTTTGATGGAGAAAAAGAAATCGCCTAAGACCTGCCACAGTGGAGAAACTGTTGTTTTTAAATAAAAACCAATGATGTGTCCCCTAAACCATAATCACTGGCCATACCTCAACGTTACAAAAGCACAATCATTGTCCATACCACAACCCCAACCACCCTCACCTCACTGTAAATAATCATTTCCATTTCCATCATTTCCAAATAATCATTTTCCATACTGCCAG